CGAATGGATATTCAGGTCCAGAGGATTGCAGATCCATGTTTACTTCCAATAGAGTTTCACGATCTGGAGGTTGCATTTGACGTCACACTCACGCCAGCTTGTGAACATCCCCAAACAACACCAGCTGCTCACTACGAGGTATCAACATCCAGCATCATAGTACTATTTCGACTGGCACAATCATCCACGATGGCTAAAAACATCACTATTGATCCCAATGACCTCCAGCCTCCGACAAGATGCCCTACGTCCTCCGTTGACCCTCCATCGAAGCTCCCTCCGGCCAAAGAAAGCAGGGTCCATCCCGCCAAACCAGGTGGGGAGAATGCGTCGATATATTTCGTTGGCACTGCCACGACGATCATGCGCGTGATCCCTCTCTAGATCATGAGATCGAGCCATGAACTAACAAAATGATGCAGACAATGGCACGGAATCCGCATCATGACTGATGTATGTACCACATGCGCCAATCCGGAAGTCTAGACAGATGCGGGAGATATCATTAGGATGCTAACTGACTAGCTCAGCCCAACTTCCTTCACGCAGGGGACCACGTCCATCTCGGCCCTGGGGTATCCTCGACTCGCAGGACGAATCCAGCTGTAGACTTGGAAGAGCTACCGCGGATCGACTTGGTGCTTCTATCTCATTATCACGGGTAGACATCCATCTTCACATAAGACCGAATTGGGAAAGAAACAGGCTGATGAGCAAAATTATAGCGATCATTTCGATCAGAAAGTCGAAGCTTCCCTCCGTCGCGACCTTCCCATCGTGACGACACCCCATGCCAAATCCATTCTGACCTCTAAAGGAGAAGACTCGTTCACGAGAGTATCCAGCGTGGAGGTATACGAGCAGCTTACAGTCGATATCAAACACAACCAGAATGACGCACAGCGACAGCAATGGCCCAAGCTCCGGATAACCGGTATGCCAGGGAAACATATCCCGGTTGGAAAGCCGTTAGAGAAACTGAATGAGCTGGTTGGGGCGGTATGTTTCTTCCTCCACGTACATCTTAGCTTGACAGACATTAATCAGTACAACGGAGTAGATCCCTCCTACAAACGGATGGATGCTCGAGCTAGGCTACGGTGACAACAACGACAACGCAAACAGTTTCACCTCCGGTTATAGAATCTACATCTCAGGGGACACGCTCATGTTCGATGATCTCAAGGAGATTCCCCGTCGGTATGCAGGACATCCGATTGACCTGATGCTGGTTCATCTAGGTGGCACGACAGTACCCTCGCCGTCCATGTTGCCATTAGCGATGATGGTAACCATGGACGCGAAACAGGGAGTGGAACTGATCAAGTTGATTCGACCACAGGTGACTATCCCCATTCATTATGATGACTATGACGTGTTTGCAAGCTCGTTGGATGATTTCCGGGCGCAAGTGCAGGCCGCTGGGTTGGATGGGGAGGTTGTGTATCTGGACCGGGGAGACGAGTATCAGTTTCGTGTCTCGTAGGATAAGAACGATGAATGAATGGAGAGATGGATGGCAAGAGGCAAAAAGAACTTAGTTCACATCTCAACCATGGCTGACCACGGCATCGCACCCCGCCAATCAGCACCGCTTGATCTTGACCGGACTCGTACATCCCGCCCAACCAGCTATATTCCCTAATTTGCCATGGTGAGATATCGTAACCCTTTTTTACTTCCATTCAATAAGATCTTCAATGTGTTCATCGACCTGTCAACGTAATCACCCCAGGTACAGATATCTCAGAAATAGGGCCTTGTCACACTACATCTGCAGTGAAAGACGGAAGTTTAAACCATAAAGAAAAAGAAAAAAGGTACCCTTATGATGTCAGAGTGAAGCGGTATTTACCACCTAGTTACCCATTACTACTTATCCATCATCTGCTACATGATCTTAGTTACTGAGTGAATAAAACAACCAACCATTGAATACAAAAGAAAGACGTACTTTACTTTCTTGCTCATAAGATCCCTCCCCTCCTTCCCCAATCCTAGCTCAGCCCATATAAAGTACCTCATCACCTCTGCAGATCATTCTCAACGTCTTAGACGTCATAGTGACTCCAATCAATCGTCTACTTACCCAAAAACGGGCTTCGATATCTCTCTTCTCTCCATCCAATCCACTGGCACTGTCACTACTGGCTTCGTATAAAAAAAGAAAATAAAGGGCGGAATACGCCGCTGATCTTCATTCTTTCACATCAATCTTAATATTCTAATCTATCAAAGATCAACATCTTCAAACCAAGAAGAACAGATCGATAGAGAAACGAAGGGGAAAAAAAGAAGATGTCCTACAACAACAACACCTACCACCCCATCGCCTCAGCAGACAAAGTCCCAACCATCCACACAATCCATCCTATGAAACGCTCGACGTCCTACTCTCCCGCCGCCCAGGAGAGCGGCGACGACGAGTACAAGCACCACCACATCAAGAAAGACAGCGCGAGCAGCACAGTAGCCTGTGGCAACGACCATAAAGTGAAAGCCGCGCTGACGGAGCTTCTTAACGACGACGGCGTGAGATCTAATGCGCGCGGAAGCAGATCGGTACAGAACTTGCTTATGGATACCGAGAAGGCGTTGAGGAAGCAGCGCAGGGAGTCGCTGTCGGGACGGGCTTCGATTTCGGTGGCGAAGTGAGGTGATATCGGTGTCGATATGGGGATTTATCTTAATTATTTGGTGATGACATGATTGTCGAATGGTGGCTGCTTTGCGCTGTATGCAGGGTGTGTATATGGCATGGTCGTCGAGTCGAATTCTCCTCGTGCTGGTCTGGTCTGGTCTGGTCGGTACAAGAGGTGCGCGCTGTGTCGATGAGATGAGGGTCTAAGCTGCTTCTGATGATGTTGATGCTATGTGAGCCGGCTACATATGGAGCTGCTTGATTCAATATGGTTTCATGCAGGGTAGTAGTAGGGCTGGAGGTTGGAGGCACAGTTGATGCGCCGTTGCAGGAGCTGAAACGACATGTCTATTGGTGGCAGCACAGTACACTTTACAGCCTTAAGGAGCAGTCGCAAAAGGTTTCTATGCCAGATATGTCAGTTAATTTATCTTTGTGTTTAGGCACCATTCGAACTCACTGGTATTGTGCTCTACAACTGTAGAGAATAGTATAAGATGCGGCGCGGCCTATATACTACCTACTTACTAGCTTATAGTTAGTAGTAGGTGGCCTCTTCGATGCATAACACATCAACAACAGTAGTATGACCCTAAGCCATCAAGTCAGACAATAAACACCGTAATAGACGAAATAAAATAGCATTCCCTCTCTCATAGAGATAGTCCAATGACTCCAAAAATTAACATGTACCAATCAAACCCACTCAACGAAGCCAACCACCGCCGCCGACCGCCTCCGAGTGACGACCGACCGACCGACCGCAATCGATCCTCCTCCGCACCAACAGCTCCAGCTCCAGTCCAACTCCAACCAACCTCCCCCCCTTGACCTCTCTCTCTCCACAGCCCATCTTCCTTAACTACTTTCCCCGTCTGCACCGCCAGACCACATGCGTGGCACCCCCTTACACCCAGCTAGTTACTAATATCATATACCCCCCCGGCCACCATGTCCAAATCCACCAAGTACCTCCTCGTCTCCTTCCCCACGTCCATCACCCCCTCCCACCACCGCGACGACGCCCTCGACGCCATCTCCGCCACCGTCTCATCCGAAAATGGCTCTGTTGCGCCGTTTCCCATCCCCGAGTTCAAGATCGGTACGCTCGATGCTCTGGTGCAGCAGGCCGACGAGCTGGCTAAGCTCGAGGCCGGCTGCCAGGGGGTGGTGGCCAAGGTTGGCGATGCGCTGAAGAATATTCTGGAGGGGGATGAGGCGCAGATTGATAAGATGAAGACGGTGAATGATAGTATGTTTTTATCACAGCATATGTTTCTTGGGAAGTGACGTGTGTTTTGTGTTGACGGGGTCTTCTAGAACCGGTGGATCAGTACCTGCGCACGTTCTCGTGGAATAAGGTCAAGTATAGGGCTGATAAGCCGTTGGGGGAACTGATTGATTTGCTGCAGAAGGTGGGTTATGCCAGTTAATTCTGTATAAAGGTTATGCTGACGGGTGGAACAGGAAGCAGCGAGTATCGATAACGACATCCGCTCGAAATATACCCAGTATAATCAGGTGAAGAATACGTTGGCGACGTTGCAGCGGAAGCAGACGTGAGTTTGTTACTTTTACTTTACTTTACTTTACTTTACGCTCCATATCAGAAGGAGGACCGTTGTCTGATCTGCTTGCTCTGCTATAGGGGCAACCTGTCCACCAAATCCCTCTCCTCGGTCGTCGACCCCCGCACCCTCGTCCGCGACTCCGAATACATCGAGACGCACCTCGTCGCTGTGCCCGCCCAGCAAGTCAAGGAGTTCCTGAAGATCTACGAGACCGTGGCGCCGATGGTGGTGCCGCGGTCGGCGACGCTGGTTGCTTCGGACGACGATTTCACACTGTACGCCGTCACGACGTTCAAGAAGCACAGCCTGGAGTTTGTGCACAAGTGCCGTGAGAACAAGTGGATTCCGCGCGACTTCAAGTACATCGAGGGAGGTAAGGAGGAGGAGCGGAAGGAGTTCGAGCGGGTGGGCGGTGACGAGCGCAAGCTCTGGGGGGAGACGCTCCGGCTGGGACGGACGGCGTGGAGTGAAGCCGTGATGGTCTGGATCCATGTGTATGTGCTGCGGGTGTTTGTGGAGACGGTGTTGCGGTATGGACTGCCGCTGGACTTTGTGTGCACGTTGATCCGGGTGAGTTCGGTTTCTACTTCGTGTTTGAATCGTGTTTGTTGCTAACTAGACCAGACTCCCGGAACGAAGCAGGCAGACAAAGCGAAGCGCAATCTGGACGACAAGTACTCGTACCTGGCGGGCAATGCGTTCGGGCGCGACAAGAAGGGCCGAGTGAAGCGCGACGACCCGGGCGAGATGCACGGCGAGGGCGGGCCGGAGTATACAGCATATGTGTATTATGAGTTTGAGTTCAACTAGCCAGCGGCCATTGCTAGTTTGCACCATTGTTTTATGCTTGGATCTATTCTCTTCCTGTTTATAAGTCTAGCGTACGTACATAGAAGTACTCAATCCCCCTCAATCCATCTATCCAGCCTAGCCACATTCAAAGCACTACAAGTAAGTAGTAAGTAGTAAGCAGTAAAACCCAACTCATATATACAACCAACACATCATCTCTATCTATCATCTATCTATCTACTCTAAACCCCCACCCCCCATCCCCTCCAGGGACTGGGACTGAATACTCTACTCCTTCTTAGCCGGCAAATACCCCTGCTCATCCAAATACCGAATAATCTGCGCCACAGCCTCCTGCACGGGCACCTCATGATTCTTGACATGCACCTCGGGCTTCACCGGCGCCTCATACGGGGCACTAATACCGGTAAACTCCTTAATCACGCCCTCCCTCGCCTTCTTATACAGACCCTTGGGGTCCCGCTGCTCCGCCACCTCCACCGGCACATCAACATACACCTCGACGAACGGCAGACCCGTCTCCTCTCCGGGCGTGGGCACCTCATGCAACTGTCTTGCGGTGTCGCGGTCCTTGCGGTACGGCGAGATGAAAGAAGTAATGGCGATAGCGGACGAATCGGCAAACAGCTTGGCCACTTCGGCAATCCGTCGGATGTTCTCGTTCCGGTCGGCTTCGCTGAATCCTAGGTCCTTGTTGAGTCCGAACCGGATGTTGTCGCCGTCTAGACGGTACGCGTGCACCCCCCGGTCGCGCACTAGTTGGTGCTCCAGTTCAACTGCCAGTGTGGATTTGCCGGACGCGGAGAGTCCAGTCAGCCAGATTGTGAGACCCCGTTGGGACCGGAGGGTGTTGCGCTCGGTGCGGGTGAGGCCGCTGGCGTGGTAGGTGATGTTGCTGCGGTCGGTTAGTTTAGTTGGGAGGGGGGATTGGGGATTGGGGATTGGGGATTGGGGATTGGGGGACGTACGTGGCCATTTTGAGGATGTGTGTGTGTGGTATGGGTAATTGGGAGGAGGAGGAGGGTTTGGAGAGAAAGGGAAGAGGAGGAGGGGTTGAAGTACGTAGAAAAAGGATTGGGATAAGAAAAGGGTGAAACAGCGGGGCGGGCGCCGATCGCGGGGTCGATTTCATTTGACGACTTGCACTTACGTACTCCTGCGTTTCCTTGGATGGGTTCCTGCCGGGAGAGGAGTCATTGGCTCGGAGCGATGGGTGAACGTTACGTACCTCGCTTTAATGCCATGTGTCTAGAACGTTAATTTCATCTAGGAGTGATGGATTGATTGATATTGACTATCTATCTAGTTTACTGTTTGTCGGCCAAGTCAATCACTCGCTTTGCTGCCGCTTCGAAACTGTCAAATGCCTCCAGTGGCAACCCACTCTCCGCGATCTATCCGGAACATTAATTGATTAGCTTTCGATGATTAAGTGTCGGGAAAAAAAAGTTTAAGGAATCAAACTGACCATCTGCTGCCCACGCTCCTCGTTTGTCCCGCGCAGTCGTACCACCACGGGCACCGTCATTTCCATCTCCTGAAATGCGAGGATGATCCCTTCCGCGATCATGTCGCACCGTGTCAACCCCCCGAAGATGTTCACGAAGATCGCTTTCACGCGTCGGTCCGACGTGATGATCCGAAATGAGGACTTGACTGTCTCCGTCGTGGCTTTGCCGCCCGTATCCAGGAAGTTCGCGCAGTGTCCGCCATGGATCGTCAGCGCGTCCACCGTGTTCATTGCCAGGCCCGCGCCGTTCACTACGAGGTCAGTGGGATGGTAACCTCTAGATGTGGGGTTAGGGGGAATGTACTTACCTAGGGTTCCGATGCTTCCCTTTCCTTTCAGTCTGAGCTCGGTCAGCGTAGGCTACACAGGGATGACTGGGGTGGCTCACTTGACGTAGACAATGCCATCCTTCTCGGCTTCGACTTCCTCGGGCACCTCTTCTGCTGGGTTTCTCAGTTGCTGTACATCTTTCTGGCGTCCTGAGCTCCGAAAGGCTGCGTCATCGAACCCAAAGCGGGCATCGCGGACTTCAAAGGCACTTGTGGCGTTGGCGCGTACTTCCAGGAGGTACGCCTCCTTTTCCTTGAAAACCCGCCATAATCCCTGCAGCAGCTGCGCCAGGTTGTCGTGCGCCGTTGCGGGAAGCTGCAGGTGGGAGGCAACCGTTTCAACCAGGGGGTTTGTGCTGCTAAAGTCCGTGCCCTCGTATGCAAATGGGAACCGGCCCGTCTGTGCTGGTTCGAAGCCAGCGGATGTGGAGGCAAAAATGCACGGCGAGAGTGCTGTCCTATCAACGGTGAGGGACAAGAAAAAGTCCGACTCGGAGGGTGCAGCCTCGTTGACAGGGATTGATTCTTTCCTGAGCATATCGAGAGCCTGGAACGGCTTAATGAAAAGACTTCTGGTTTGCTGGGGCTGAGAGACGCAGTAACGGTTTGGTCTGATGCGCCTCATTGTATGTAGGCCTCGCCGCTGATTCCCGCCATTGATAGACTACTCCATGTAAGTATCCTGTCGTGTTTCGCATGGAACAGACCTACAGTAGTGCCCACGCGCCCGCGAGTTTTCAGAAGTGACTTCATTCCCTCTCCGAACTTCTCGGGGTGGTTGACCATCATTACGCCGGCTCGTTCGAGCGCTTCATACTTGGCCTTCGCGCCGGGCTCCCCAATTGCTGTCCAAGCACCTGCGTGGCCCATGATCCGCCCAGGAGGAGCATGCAAGCCTCCAACGAGGGCCATTATTGGTCTGTACTTGTCAGCACGGTTTCCCATGGGAACGAATTGGCTCTTCCGCATACTTGGGGTTAGCAGTCCTCTGATTGTAGTCCTTGATCCACTCCGCTGCATCGATCTCTGCCGTGCCACCGATCTCACCAACCAGGATGATCCCCTCGGTGTCAGGGTCTTCTTCAAAAATCTTCAGTGCATCGACGAAATTAGTCCCTGCTAGAACATCCCCTCCCATACTGATACAGAGACTTTGTCCGAGACCTGCCCGCGTTGTAGACGCAACAGTCTCATAGCTCAGAGTCCCTGACTTCGCAACAATGCCAATATTGCCGGGTGCGAAGCAGGGCAAAGGCTGGAATCCGATCCGGCATTTGCCAATTGCAGAGATGATTCCCGGGCAGTTGGCTCCGACCAATCTCGTCTTTGACTGGGTCTTCAGCATGGAATGGATCTAATTACCATTAGTTTATAGCCCTCATAGACAACGCTCAAACCGAATCGCTTACTCGAAGAATATCATGGATAGGAACATGTTCTGCCACTGCTACAACAACAGGAATTTCCGCTTCTATAGCCTCTTCTATCGCCTTTGCAGTCTGGTTACCAGGCACGTAGATCGCAGATGCGTCCGGTTTCGCTCTCTCTTGGGCCTGTCTGTATAAGTATGATGCCCGGATAAGTAGACAATCAGTCATACCGCTTTTACAGATGGGAACACTGGAAGACCGAGATGCTCTCCTTCGACGCCCGGCTTAACGCCCCCGACAATCTTCGTACCCCATTCTAAGGATTCCTTGACGTTGGCAGTGGCCTGGAATGTTAATCAAGGCCTCTTGCGATTACACTAGAAGCCCGCTTACCTGTCTACCTAAACTTAATGTCAATTTATGATCGTAGATATTGAGAGACAGACTCACCTGTAAATCCCTGAAACAAGACCCGCGTGTGAGCTCCTATCTTCAAATTCTGTAGCGTGTCCGCATAACTGCAGGTCCTGGACGAGGTCGAGAACCCCTGTGATTGTCTCACTGAAGCGCGGACGAGAGGCCTTCTCGCCGGCGCAGACAATGAAGCCAGGCGGGACATAGTGGGTTCCGTGCCGTGGTTACTTGATGGAGATCAATAGCCGGCTATATCAGTGTGGGGTATTATAAGAACACCAAATGCGAGAATGATAGGTTTAAATGATGAAAGAGACAACAAACCAGTGACTACCACTCACGGCCACTTCGTAAAGTAGAGCAATATCAACAGCCAGTTGCTAGACTGGTCTACAGGCCTGGCGAGAGTTGAAGGGGCGGAAGACTAACCTCGGGAATTGATGTCTTATAAGACGGATACTCCGCCGGTCTCGGACAACCTGCCGACTGTTTCCGAGGTACTAAACAAGAGGATGTGGGCTCTCGGGACAGTCATGCATTGCTGTGATTGGTGGTCTCGGAAACGTGTTGCCGGGTAGTACTTGGGACTCGGAAAGGCAAATGCCACATGCTCCGCCGGCGGTGTTCAGAGCCACAGGTTTGGTGTAGAGGCTGAAGGAAGTGCGGACTGGCACTGAATATATTAGTGCATGTATAGCGTGCAGATTTCCCTATTCATGTTTTTCCAGTTCGTGTATGTCCTCATCTAGCTGGGAGCATTTGTAGCTAGTGGTATGCAGCAATGCTTGATGCAGTATACACCTATAAGATGATATTGCACCAGCCCCCAACACCCCCTGAGGTACATAGACCTTTCAATTGTTCTTTGAAGGCCTCTACTCGATGGATTCATGTCTCAGTCTGCGTTCTCAGTCATGGTGCACTAGCACTAATGCTTCCCGTCAGCAAATATGTTCTAGATCTCTTGGGCAGCACATCTTAAGTGATGAGACTTCACATGAGTGAAAACCCTGTTCCCTTCGCCCACCGAAAAGGCAATGTTATCGAATTGCATCGACTAGTGAGATATTGGTAGATGATGTCAAGTGGTCTATTTTTATGAATTCTAGGCTCTGGAAACAAGGCTTGGAGATCACCCCACACTCCCAACTGCTTAGTCAGTATTTCACAGTACAGAATGCGAACAATTGCAGATGTGAGAACATACTTTGGACTACAAAGTATGTGACCCAAATAATGAGAGATACACATCCTGAGATCAGATCACACGACTCCAGTAATCCTTGCTAGTAGCGTTACAGCCTTGAACTGGAGTATGTAGATCAATGACCCAACTCTCCCATCACAATGTACACACCAGCAAGAAACCGGCCAGTCAAACAACCAATCTGGGGCCATGATAAGTGACTTCCCAACGCAGATCAGCCACCACACAATGGTGGAAACGTGAACCGTTCCCCAAACTGCAAATTCTCGCCAGAAAACAAAAGCGATGGACCAACTCGAACTCTGGCCAGCCCAATGCAAGGACCAATCACGGGGCCCGCCTTCCCCGAAAGGCGGGGTCGCACTGCCGGGACTGACGCCATTCATGATTTCACCTTTTCGCTTTGCTTGAAAGCGGTCGGACCACTCTGCATTGTTCTGCTACGAACCACTCCAAGATCTTCAATAATAGAATTTTATCAATTAGTAGTCGATATGGCGGCCGCACATGCCAGTTCCAATTCCAAGGGTTCGTTTCCTTCATCCTCCTTTAATTAACCTTCCCTTCTCCCTCCCCCAATTGTACTGCCGCCACAATAACTGAGAGCCTCTCCTCAATCATCTCTTCCTTTTCCTTTATTCTTTCCTTCCTCCTTCCCCAGACTTCCCCCATTGTTACTACTTCCTCACCCCACAGTACCCCATGGTACTCCCATAACATAATCAGCTGCAACAAAACACCAACAACTAACACCACCCCCAATGTCCGTTCCAGCCACACCACCAGCAACAACACCGCCAACAGCATCAGCATCAGCAACCTCCGAACTACAATCCTCTCTCCGCGAACTCTCCCTCGCCAATAAAAGCCCCATTAAAGATATTCCCCGACCGACTCCCCCCACCTCGGTCCCCAAACAACACCATCACACGGTGAAGAAGAAGAAAGAGCCTGCTCCCGTCGCCGACTCCTGGGAAGATGAAGTAGACTCGGCCTCCGCCTCTGACCCCGAAGGAGGAGCAGCCGACATCTCATCCACCTCCCCCGCTACCTCCTCCCGCTTCGCCAGCCCCGCATTGTCACCTTCTATCCGTTACACTGAAGGCCCCTTGGACCCCCCACCCACGCCCATCTCACCGCAGACGTCTGCATCGCAGCCGCCGTGGCCTACTTATGGTGGACGATCAGAGGCGAGATCGCCGGCGAGGAGGCCGGAGAAGCAGACGGCTGTAGCGGGGAGGATGATTGCGGGGGCGCTGGGAATTCGGGCGCCCAAGCGCACGGAGGAGCAGCGGGCGTATGACCGCGCGGTGAAAGAGCAAGAGATTAAGCGGCGGAATAAGGAAAAGGAGGAGGCGGCGAAGGCGAAGGAAGAGGAAGAGAAGGCTAAGGCGGCAGTGTGGGACATGTGATTGACACTATCTTATATCAATGGAGTATCTACTCCGTATTGCTGGGGGTGGGGTTGGTGGAGATATACATTCCTTGCTTCTACTCCCGGCTCTGAAGGTGACGGGGTGTGCCGGGTGCTGCGTTTCTCATCTTCTTTTCGCTCCTTTGATGACTGCTTGCGGGGTGGGTCGGTTGTCTGGTTTCCTCTTGTCACTTTCCTGTCTTACTACATACACTCAGACTCACTGGGGGTCCAAACTATACGGGGCTGTAATATAGTCTTTCGGTGAATCTATACCAGTTCAGACGGATGGACTTCCAGAAAAGGAAACCCCTATCTAGTTTTGCAGAAGTTGCAACCCAGCGTAGCTTGAATGTAGTGCTCAAGAATCTATCCAAACGGTAGACATTTGCACACAACAGATGCTAAACACTGATTCTTTTCCTTCCTCAGCTCCCCAAATTCTTGCAGAACAGTGAAGTTAGCAAAAGCAATGAAGAGTAACCATTCATCATATTTTCGTCGACGTCAATAACCCTCTTATTTATCACTCTGAAAAATTTCCTGATCCCTACCCAGATACACATCTCATTATAGGACGCTCTCCAAATCCGGGCCCGGCTCCGACCCATCAACCAAGTAGAACACCGTGTTGCGCCTTGTATCTGTTCAGCAAAACGGAAGAAACAGATCGGAGGATGGTCGGGAGAAAAAAATTTGGGTAAATAAAGGCAAGAAACACAACGGGGCTGGTAATGTATTTTGGGGAAAAAAGACATAATAATCATGATTCATCGAGAGAGAGATAATGCTATCTAGCCACCGATTTGTTCCTGGTGCACTTCGAGAGTGTCCCCATCGGCCATCTCGAGCTACATAATTTCAAAATAAGTTAGCCGTGTGCTTTGCGGTTCTCTAGGGTCTGTTTGCCAGAGAAGATGGAAGAAGGTGTTCGTGCGGGGAAGGGTGCCGTAGTGCGTGCACATAAACACATCACAGAAAAGAAGGGTTGTCATGCTAGAACATACAGTATCGGGTGTATCTTCAGGGCGCACACGGGTGCCATCGAAAAGGAAGCGGACCGTAGATGGCTGCTTTCCTTGCCTTTCGCAGAACGCGTCCATCAACTTCTTCAACTGGGTTGTGCGCTTGATCTTGAAGAACACTTCATTGTTGTTGTCGGTCACCTTGATGTTGAGGTGCTCGACAGCCGCGGGGGCCTCTCCGGAGTCGGCCATTGTTGTAGAAGGGAATAAAGACGATGGAGGGCTTGGAAACTGGAGGAGGGCGAGTTGTCAGCTTTGGGAGGGACTTCCCGTCGCAAGTTGAGTTCGTCAGACTGCGGTGACTTACCCTATTTGCCGCTTTGAAGGGATCGAGGTTATGCGCTAGAGCACTGGCGGAGAGACGGATGAGGAGAAGAAGCTGGTGGACGTGATAAATGACTGAGAGAAGAAGAAAAAGGATGGGGTGTTGAACTGAGCTGGAGGCGATGAAGGCAACCCCCACCGGTTATAAATATCGGAGAATCTATTTTTGCGGCGCAGGTCCAAGTTCCCGTTGCTTCGCTGCAGTGAATGAGATCAAAGGTGTTACTACTACTGTTGATACTTGATTTTCTCTTGATACAACTTTCAGTGTTGAGTCATTTTCTATTCAGTTTTCTGATTAGGTTTGTTTTCTTTTATTTCAGTCCTAGCCTCCGGGATCCTTCATTTGTGATTTTACTTCTGTCTTGTTGCCGGTTTCTCTGGCTGAGTATAGTATATTGCGTCATGGTATGAGTGTAACCATTGACTCCCGTTTGAGTTGTGAGTAACAGATAGCAGGGCGGACCTAAGGAAGACATAGCATTTGACCCGCCTTGCCATCCACGAGCTGTAGGTCACAGATACTAGTTGGAACATTTGTTTGGTGCATGACTAACAATTGCCAGTGTGCCATACAAGGTGACTATCACCATGCAACATCCACGTGCAGAAACAGCACTAATTCTTGCAGCATGCCTCACGAAGAACTCGTACCAGGAAGAGAAATGTCAATCCCAGATCAATGCCCTTTATGAATGTTGCAATGCCTTCTACCAGGCGCGAGGAGAGGACGCAAAGACTCCAAGCTGTCCTAAGCCCAATTTGCTGCGTCTGAAGATGAAGCAACGGGGCATGGAGCCTTAGCTGTCTCGGAGAGAATTTCGTGTCTCATAGAGTTCTACGGATCGTGTACATACTACCAATTATACTTTGTCGACAATAGAGTAAGAGACCAAATCATTAAGGCTCTTGACAACGTGTCGAGTTGCCGGAAAATAGTAATAGTGATAGTCTTAGTAGACAATCCATCTCAGTTGAGACTGAGGCTGGAATGTGACAATTCCCTTGCAGTCTGAGCTCCCATTCGAGGAAAGAGCTAGGCTAGTTGTGAAAATTGCCAGATTTCTCTAAGACAATCTTGAGCACGCAGAGAGGCCGTTTGACCTGAACGAAGATTGAAGCGCTCGTTCCGAGACTCTAATGATTGCCTATAGACATTTGATGAAGAAAGAAAAAAGAAGAAGAGGGAAAAGCCGAAGTGCGCGAGTTTTTATGGTGTGTGTTGACGCTAGTCCCCATCTGGGCTAGTGGCCCGTCGGCCCAAAACACGGCCAAAAAGAGTAAGACGAAGAAGATTGGAAGTTGCAGTTCTTCCCCGAATCCTCCTGGGAAGCTAAAGGTCCCTTCGCAAACATTCTCCATCTCTATCATCGCCCTTCCCCCGACACACCCCTTCTCTCCCGGTCAACCTCCCCGGTCTTTCCTCGCGCTCATGGCACCCTTAACCAGGGCCACGGGCTCGGGCGCCCCTGCCGGGTTCACGTCCATAAATGTGAGTTGCTTTGTTTTGGCTTTCTTGTAAGGCGGTGCGCTGACCGACCGATGTTTTATTATCCAGCCCTCTCAACAACCAACGAACGAGTCGGATGTTATTGAAATCGAGGATGATGACGATGAGCCCATGGATGAAGAGGGAGACGACATGGAGCCCAATGAGGATGAAGACATGGAAGATGATTACGTTGACGAAGACGAGGAATCAGAGGAAGAGGCCGCTGACGCGCTGAATGGAAGCGAATCACCACTGGATCTGGGGTTCGCTCCAAATGGACATAGTATGCTCCTTACGACTTCTGGTAGTGCTAGGGAGGCTGACTTTGCTAGATGGTATAGATGCCGCAACACCGGACTTGTTTACGTCGGCAGGCGCGCAGGAGGCCTTGCATCCCCTTCGCCGCACCGCAGATCGAGTCACGCGCCAGATTGAGGCCTTCGCCGAAAAATTGGATCGTTTCAAACAGAAAGGAAACCGCTCGGATGACTTGTCGAACTACCAAGCTGCCTATAACCTGGTGAAGAGCTACCAGACCCTCGCGCAAGATGCAATCAGCGACATCACGAAACAAAACACCTTGAAACGGGCCAAGCTTGGATTGGGTGCTGCTCGAAGCAACGGATCCGCATCGTTCGATCCCAAGACTGCAGAGGAGCTCCGGCGTCTACAATTGGAAGCCGACACTTGGCGACTTCTCCTCAACCTTATTAGCAGGGACGATCCGCCCCGCAGAGCCGACTCCAAGAAGTCGCAAGAATCTGTCTTCCAGAATCTACACCGGTACTCCCCCGATCGTGACGTCTGGGACCAATTCTTGACTGCGGACCATTATGCGACGGAATGCGTTATCATCCTGAAGTGGCTCGAACGCTCGGCCAAATACAGCACGCAGGATGTGGACTATCTAATCTCTGAGTTAGAGTCACAGGCCGAAAGAGGGCAGGGATCATGGTCCCATGGATGGCTTTACACGAAGGAAACAATCAAGGGACAGAAGCGACTGCGAGCCTGGCCCCAACCCCTCGAACCCAATGACCCGGGCATCACCGCTACGCTTCTGAGCTCGGATAAGTCGGAGCCACTAGTCACCCAATTAGATCCGGACGCCGTCACCCGCCAAAGGCAGAGCCTACAGAAGCAGGATCAGTTCTACGAGCGCGCTACATGGATGACGTGCTGGAAGATGCTCAGACATGGGGAGAGTTGGTTCAAGATCCGCGAATGGTGTGCAGAGCGGTTGGAAATATGGCGAGCCGTCAGCATCTGTGGTACTAGCGTGGATGTTGAAACACACACTGGAAGAACACCTGTGGATGATGGGCACACACGCCTGATGAACTGGCGTTCCCAAGAGTCCTGGAGGGCCGCCTGCAGTGCTTTGGCACGGAATCCGCACGCCGAGGATTTTGAGCGGGCGGTTTATGCGTTGCTCTGCGGCGAAACAGAGGCAGCCTTCAAGGTCTGTCATACCTGGGATGACTATCTTTTCGTGCACTTCAACAGCGTCCTCCTGTCTCGCTACCAGGGATTCTGCAAGCAGTTCCAGCGGAAGCTAAGCCATTCGCCTACAACTCCTGTTGCCTTCGTGCCTGAACCGGCAGGATATGCCGAATTCAATAAATTCGTGCAGTACACTAGAGGAAACGAGCGCGTTGGAAGCGAGGCACGGAACCCGTACCGCACTATCCAGGCGACAATCTTGGGCAAAGGATACGACGCATTCTTCTATTCCTTGGCCCAGGCAGTGTCCCAGGTTGCGAACAACAAATCGGATGCATCATCCTTCGTTCCTGATGTGTCACCTACCTCCGTCGATGACAGTCTTGTCATTGCTGCAGAGGACGGCGATGCGCTCCGGATTGCCACCCATCTTTACATCGTCGCTCATTCCATTGGATACGTTCGCGCCGACACTCAATTCTACAACACTGCCTGCGTGAACATAATCGGGTATATCGCTAACCTGGAATCCCTCGGTGTTGTGGATATCATTCCGCTTTACGCTTCCCTTCTCCCGGAGGACTTGACGAGGTCTGTTCTGGCTCAGGTATTGATCGAGATTGTTGATCCACGGGAGAGAAAGAACCTGGTTCGGTTGATGGAGAAGCACGGTATCGACGTCGAGGCTGTCCTGCAGACCCAGTGGGAATGGCTGAGCGTGAATGTCTCTGCCATCGACCACTCCAGGACGGTCAAGCGGCACCCGAAGGTTGTCAACCGCAAGGATGGCAACCTTGAATTGGTTCCGGTCAAGACGGATTTCATTGGAAACGAGATATCTGAAAGTGATGAAAATGTCATACGCAGTCTCGAATGGCTTCGCTACGTGGATGGACAGTGGGGGCGAATCTGTCAGCTCGGATCTTTGTTGTACCGCAAGTTCTATAGTATGGACATACCCTTGTTCCGTGTAGGAGATGCAGGGCTAACAATATCACAGTATCGGGTCGACTCTCTGCAGCTCGGGAGCTGTGTCGGCGGATGAAGCTATCCGACATCTCGCGGGAAATGTTCGGCTTTGATATTTCGGAATTTAGCCTCGATGTGGCGGCGATGCAAGAGGTCAACACCCCAGAACCTTCCAGTCCGACGAAGTCGAGGTTGCTCAGCTCCCCTCACAAGCGTTCTCGGTCGCGAACCAGCGGAGTTGCGTCGGGAAGCCAGGCGAGCATCTTACTCCAGCAATCGCAGACCATGCGTGATCTAGAGGTCCTTATCCTGGCATTGGACGCTCTGGAGAGATATGCCATTATTTATGAAAAACTAGAAAAGTATGTCATGACAATCTATGAATGGGTTTGCGTTGAACTAACCACTGGCGCAGCAACAAACGGCGGCGTGATTCGGGTATGCTCAAGGACCTGAGAGAAGGGCTACAGGAAGCCCTGGATGATACTAGCGTCCAAATCGATGTCATGTTGGACGAGTGGCTGGTCAACTACGAGAATGGTAAGCAACCCTGTCTGCTTGAGTTTGAGTGTATCAATACTAATATGGTCAATATAGAAGCCGAGAAGGAGGAGTTGGAGGAGATTCGTAACACCTACATTCCCGAAGTGTTCCTCGATTACCACAATACGATGTATTTCTCGGCTCATGTGCTTAGCAGCGAGCTCTTGGTGCAGTGCATGAACTTGGCAACCCAGGTGGCCGAAGTGGAGCATCTGACGAGCAGCTTCGTTGCGGCCCGCCGCGTTGGAGAGCTGATGAACGCGTTGGCAGTGTCCAGCAAATCCATGGTGAACACGCACGCGAAGCCCGGCGTCAGGCTACTGGGAGGAGAGTCGTTGGGGATCTGGGCCCCGCAGGTGTCTGACGAGGAGAATGACACGACCCAGGAGCAATGAAGCGTGTATTTGAACTAACGATGGTGGACCGGCGTGTATATTACCCTCATGTTTCTCGTTTTCTATGACTTCACCCAATCTCTTCTGGCCGGAAGGATTATGGGCATCTTGCATGTACAAGGGTCGGAGGGATGATCATATCCGGCGCATCTCAGGATTTACATCGATCTGAAAATAAAGAAATCTAACTGTATGGAATAATCAGATGGGTTCATGTCAAATTTAGCGACTGCGTTTTCCAAGTGGAGAACTACCAGAATCGAACAAAGCGAGTACTACGCCAAGTAGAGGCTGACCTGATAAAAACGTGCAATTTAATAGAAAGGGCACAGCACGTGCTGTACCAAATAGGTTAATAATATGCTGCTTTCTATGATATTGCGTTAAATACTATGATAAGCATTGAGCTATTGAGATAGCGTGTATATAGTTAGTGGCTCCTATCAGTGAGGCTTGGTTGACTACGCGACATTTTGACAGTGATTGAGAGAAATCGTGTGGAATTGAATGCGAGTTCTGTAATTATCATACTTGGTCACTATGGCTAATCTTCATGGGTTCACCGATGCATTGCAGAAAGATGGACGTAATCCGGGCATAAAGCTAATGGAAAATGTAATGTAGACTGTCGTGTGCGTGAAATTCCTTGGCTGCGTCGCTCTTTAACAGATTATACTGATACTGGTAGTACGTAGCAAGTTAGTAGTTCAGGCGATGAATAATCTGGGAGGGACTACGTGCATCATCTTCCAATGTCATTCTTTAGAGATCTTATTCTATTCTGTCTGTATCTTTGTCAACCTGGTACTGGTACTGTTCATCTGCCTAGATACTGTTCAACAACTCTCCTCGCCCACTTAACTAGTATGAGACAAATAACATCATCAACATCTTGGATGGATTCATCATCTCGTTCAACAATCGAACCATACTACCCAGTGTCAACTAGCACTTTCACCCAGCCTCACACCCAACAAAGCAATATGAACAATAATAACCCTCCAACAACCTAGTTTCACAATACAATCTCCTCCTTTCTCCTCCGAACAGACACCTTTGCCACCGGATCTGCCTGCCAAACGAACCCATACTTCCTCACCGTCGGGTTCCACCCATCAGCCACCTTGAAATCATATTCCAAAAGAACATGACACAGAATGATCTTATTCAAAGCAATCGCAAAGAACCGTCCAGGACAAGCGTGCTTCCCTAACCCGAACGCCAAATGATGAGGCGAAATCGAAACTGCCTGCGCCGCAGTTTCAAGACCGGGCGTCTCGCGCATCTTCAGGAACCGGTATGCGTCGAATGTCTCCGGCTCTGGATAGATGGTAGCGTCCCACATGGACTCGCTGGTGAGAACTGAGATTGTGCCTTTGGGGAGGACAGTTCCGTCGGAGAGGGTCACGTCTTCTTGTGCGAAGCGTCTCATTCCCGCTGTTGAGGTTGTGTTAGGTGTATTCTCGGTTGTGTGTGTAAGGGTTGGTGGTGGGGAGAAAGCTTGCCTATACTGTGCGGCTTCAGTCGTTGACTCTCTTTTAACACGCTATCCATGAGCTTCAAGTCGTTGAACGTCGATTTTGTCCATCCGTCGTTTTGCAGAACTGTGATTACTTCGTTTCGGAGCGCCTTAATAACATCCTCCCTTTCAGCAAGGTAGAAGAGCGTCTGTGTGAGCAGGTCCGATGTAGTATGTATAGCGGCAAGCGAGAGTGCTATCTGAGCAAGAGTCGGGTCGTAAGGTCGACCTTTTGCGCATTCTTCCATCCATTGCATCGCGTCCTCGTAGTGTTCGGGCTCCTGTCCTTGACGGATGGCTTCTTGCTTGGCGGACCGTCTTTCTTCGACGACGGGAGTGATGATTTCTTCAGCTTCCTTGATTTCGTTGCGTATCTTACGGCAGAATGGTAGGACATATGCCACATAGGGTCTGGTGCAGCGTGGGAACATTCGGAGAAATAGAGCGGACATGAATGTGTGAACGGCATAGTCGGCCGTGACTCGATGCCAGTTCGGGTTACGAGATAACTTCTCCCCGAGAAACACCCTTGATGACAGTCTGGAGATTAGACTGGCCACAATTGGCTTCAGTTGTAGATCATGCCATTCTGGTGTGACATAATATTAAGGTCATTGCTAGGGCAAGTGGATGGATAGCGTATCACTGAGCTTACCGGGATCATCTGTGAACATCTCTCCTAGCGCACGACGAGTATCTTCAGATAAAGGCCGAGCCAGTTTATCTACCAGACATGAAGGTTAGAATGTGTTTGACTAAGTCGATTGTATGTAGACATGATATACCCACCCAAACTCGGTGTCAGTTTCGTGCGTAGAACATCTTTCACAAGAGCCGGATCCTGCTTGAAAGGGTCAAACCCTCGAATATGAGCATGAAATTCTTCCGCAATAGCATTCGATAAGCTAAACGCGGGATGAGTACGAAAGTCATCTGCATGTTTGGGGGCAAGAACGATCTTTGGCCCGAATTCCGAGTAGAGATAAAAGGCGCTGCCCTGGCAGATAACTCATCAGTACCTATGGTTCGAAAGTAGAATTTAGAGGGGCATACCTGACTGAATCCAGTTCTTATCAAGCCATGTGCGTCCTTGAAAAACCGTTTTAGGGAGCCCAGGCCTCCGATCTCGAATCGTTGCCTCTGATTAATTACAGGAAGGGGCGTCTTAAGGGACGGAGTGCTTAGAAGCCAGAAGATAATCGCTGCTAGGACGGGAGCCCAGATCGATGTTGTTGACTCCAGCTTGGTTAGGTATAATATAGTATTGGTAGTAAACATGGTGTGTGCTAGAGTACCAAGGGATTTGATATGTAGAACCAGTAGGGGTGATTATGAAAATCATCTGAAGGAGCGTAGGCTGACTTGGGGTGTCATGCGTGATTAGAATGTCATACTGGAGGCTGTATAATTCCGCTCAACTTCGAAGTAAACAGGCGGAGGTGCGGAGACTGAGTCCGGGATTTGCTACGTTTTAGTACCCAATATTATCTCCGATGCGTGCCATCGGACTTGTCAGACTAAGAATGCGGGATTGACTAGTTGCAGCTGCTAATGCAAGGACTACTGCAATAGAGTACGGATGCTGGAGAATGTGGTTGGCCGACTGGCTGGCTGGCTAGTCGTACATTAGGAATGAAGGGAGAGCGGTACAGCCACGCTTTAATGCTTTAGGGCCTGCATGAGGGAAGTCTCAGCATTAAGCATGGCCAGCATTGATAAGCCTGCGGAAGGAATATGAGGATGAACGAGTGAACAAATAAAATCAATGAATGAATGAATCAGATCTGGATGGTTCTCAAAATTCACCTTTTAATGTGCCCAGCCTCTCTACTCGTGGGCGCTGAAAGGCCTATACAGCATCTGAATATTGCATCGCAGAAACCCCACCAGGTGCGGCTGAAGGGGCCCACAGTAGCACAACCTGAAGAGATCGGGATAGTGATGTTAGGATCATCATCCAGTCAGCTTATGGAAGAAGCCATCCTATCAAGAGTTCAGCTCGTCATAAGCATCAATCGGCAGTCAAAGTTTAGAGTGGCATGTACCAAAGCCAGCAGGGAAGAGGAATCTAGACAGTCAGTATCGACTGTAAGTAAACATGGATAAATCAGGTGACCTGTCCGACTCACCGCTCCACTCTAATCTTGGCCAATCAGAAACCTTAGAATGACAAGGCGTGGCTGTGTCTGCCTGGGGCACCCAGCATCCATGCCCGCACTAGTCGGACTATTAGGAGTCGAGCTAACACACACTTATGAGATTAGGAAGGAAGAGGCCTTTCTCCCAATAATGATCTCCCTCCTCAGAGTGCTGTCCAGTGATCCCACGGAAAGGCTCTCATCCTTTGCTTGTTGCATGCAAATTCAGTGAAGGTGCATGGAAAGGTGTCACTGCCAGTATGCACTGTAGATATGAACCACCCTCCGAAGCGTGTCTCCGCACATAGCCAGCCAACATGAGAAGACAAAGAGCATTCACCCATAGATCCAGAAATGGATGCCGCACCTGTCGGTCAGTCTTCATCACTCAATCTCCTACTACTCCACTTCCGCATCTGATTACAAGCGTCAACATCGAGACTAGGCTCCTGATCCTAGGGTAAGCAGCTAATCCCCCAGTCCGTGCACGCAGGTCCCGCCATATCAAATGTGATGAAACCCCAAATGCATGCCGCAACTGCACTTCCACAGGGCGCAAATGCGACGGGTACACTCAATATCGACTACCTTCTCGTAAGGTGACGCTACCAGTATCCAAACCATCAAAGAGCCTCATCCTCTGTCTCCCTGGTCTGGATTCCGATGAGCGTCGATGTCTCCAGTTCTTCGAGCACAACACCATCCCCATGCTAGTGGGGTATGCGGACTCGGAAGTATGGCAACGTCTCGTACTACAAATGTGTCACAGAGAACCTGCCGTCTGCCACGCAGTAGTCGCGCTCAGTGCCTTTCATGAAGACTACGAACGGAGCACCAAAACTTTGAAATCAAAACCCGATCACCGCCATCACCACTTCGCATTGGAACAATACAATCGCTCCATGGCAATGCTGCGCCGGCGCATCCAATCCAATGACCCCCAAGTCCGTGGCATCACACTCATGTGCTGTATCACCTTCATCATCCTCGAACTCCTCGAGGGGGACTACACCAACGCGTTCGCCCATCTCCAACAAGGCCTCAACATCCTGAAAACCCAATCAGCTAATCACACACTAACCACCGAGCGCATCCTCGCCAAAGCCTTCCTGCAGCTCAACACCCCGCGAGCCTACTGGAACGGCCCTGACGTCGTCGTAACCGGCCACCCGCCCAAGGGCAGCGTCTCGGAAGTAGCATACGAAATCACGCCAATCTACAGCATCGCCGAAGCAAAAGAGCGTCTACGCGTGCTAATGAACAACATCTTCCACCTTCAATCCCTCTGCAACCTCTTCTTCCGCGGCGAACAAGACCCAGCCCTCAACTCTCTAACCCTCTCCGCAAAACAAACCACCCTCCACCACGACCTAACAGACTTCACTCTCGACCTCAAATCATTCATCTCCTCCCACAAGTCCAACAACACCGCCTGGACGTTACGAGAAACCCGCAGCGTGGACGTCATCCTCACGCACGTAGCAACCCTCACCAGCATGCTCGGCTGTTCCCTCGACACGACGGAACTAGGTTACGACAACTTCCTACCTGAGTTCAAGCGCATCAACGACCTCTGTGAACGAATCATAGCCACTTTCGTGACTGAATACGGGAGTTACGAGAATCTCCCCACCATGGTCACTGATATCGGTGTCCTGCCATCGCTGTTCTGGTGCTGTGTGAGGTGTCGGGATGCTGAGACCAGAGAGCGAGCGCTTCAATTGCTGAAGGTGTGGCCCCATCGCGAGGGATTTTATGACTCGTATCTGATTGTGAATATTTGTCGAGGGCTGATTGATATTGAGGATGAGGGGAGGGATGCTGGGGGGTTTATCCCGAGGGCGTACCGTGTACATACGCATATGATTGAAGTTGCGGAGGATCGGAGGAGTATGGTTATCAGGTATGTGTTGGCTGGGGGCGGGGGTGAGGAGCAGGAACGGGTGGTGGTGCTTGAATAAGTAGGAATAATGCAGTGATATCTTTAGATCATTCGTCTGGGAGTTGTCTACTTCGTTGATAGTAGTTCTATGTACACGTGGTAGAATAGCATATAGGAATCAAAAATATATTTAGTTAAGTTAATTAGTGACGGGAAAAGAATAGATGAGGACAGGCAGCTCTCCTGGCTAAAACGTCTGTTGTAAGGATGCCCATCTGTACCTCCTACTACATACTACCTGGACACTTATTCTTAGCCAGGTAGTCTCTTGGCCTAGTAGTAAGTAATCAGTAACAGCAACTACTACTATACTTAATACCTAGTATCATACTATGCACGTCACACTGCTACTAATGTAGTATCACCCTCGCTTCATCTGTTGTCCTACCATCCATCTCCATATGCTGTGTATTAGATTCACGTTGCCTGAGTAGGACGAAATTAAGAACTAATACTAGAACTAGAACTACTACTAGTACCTAGTTGATGTGTAAGCCTTTACTAATTCGGACACACACACTTTTATAAATATATTCCTCCCATTCCAGATCCTCATCTCATGAAATCCACCACCATAGTCCTGTCAGCATAGTCCGGCACCCAGCCAGTTGGAAATCACATTCTTCTTTTCTTCGTACACGAACAATAATAGTGGTAGTAGCTTAACAATGGGTATGTCTCAAACAATAATAAAACTAATAAGCAGAAATGAGAGTCGTCGTTCATATGGTGGTAAAGAACTCGTTAAGAAATCATCATTTCCCGGTTTTTGTCTGTGGTGCCAGCCCTGGAGCTATTTTATCTCATCAATATGGGTTGTTTCATCTTCGGTTCATTTGCTCTTTGGTTTTCATCTCAGATGGTTGGTGGTATCTACAGTCCCGTGTTGGCGCAGGAGAAAGGAGTGCCCACGGTTCCTTCTCGGTAGCTGATGATGACGCTTTCAACGGATGCCTAGGGGGGTTCTGTTAGTGTCGGCTTCTTCGGTATCAGGTGAAAGAATGGAGACTTACATAAGTTCCTGGTCCTAGGAAGAGGAGACCGGCGATAATGAGAGTAACATTGAGAATCGCGCCCAGCCAGCCGCGGATGCCACGGTTCTTGTAGAAATTGGGTCCATAGTCCTCCCGGCGCATGCGCAGGTAGGCCGTACCCCAGAAAATGAAGCCAAAGAATGAATCGAAGAGGGAGCTCATGATCGACTCCAGGTCGGAAAAGAAGGGAATCACCTCGGCGATGATGAAGGCGAGGATCCAAAGGATAGTGAGGATACCGGTCCAGGCGGCCCATCCGAGCACGGTGTGGTTACCCTTGTGGCGGGTGCCATCGAACAAGCGGAAGAAAATGAAACGCGCTGACACGGAGGCATACAGCACGCCGAGGAAAACCAACGTCGGGATCATGAACGAGAAGGACACCTTCTTGTATACCTCGTTACCCAGAGAGCCGAATGCCGGCGACGTGATGTACTGGTTACCGGTGTAGGCGTACACGATAGAGCCGACCAAGCTGAACACGATGATCTCGGCAATGGTAACAGCGGTGACAGACTTCCAGAAGTCCTTGGGCTCCTTCATCTCCGCGATAAAACTTGGCAGCGTGATCTGACCAATGAAGGTGTAGCTGATATTGAGAAAGGCGCTCATTCCTGAGACAAAGGTCGTTCCGGGCACAGGGATCGCTTTCACAATGGGGTCTCCCTTCTCCGGGGTATAGCCCGCGGGATGGTCCTCGATGGCGGAGAAGATGAGGGCTAACATGACGGAGATGAATGTGGTGAAAGCCGACAGGGTAGCCACCTTGGATAGGGCGCTAAAGGTGCGTGGAAGTGAGCAGATCAGCGAGATAATAGCCGTGACCAGTGAGAACACGATGGTGCAGGCTCCATGACCACTGATGGTATTGAGGTACTCGGCGCCGACCAAGCAATGCAAGCCCTAATCTAGGTCAGCACTATAAATAACTTCGCATGCAAACTAAAAATACCTGAATGAATGTGTTGTTCAACAAGAACATCACCGCAGTCAGGTACCACACAACTTTGGAGTCCCAGAAGATCATTTGGCCGATGTCGCACACGTCACGGACATGTGGGTGTCGCAGACAGAACTTCCTACACGATATGAGCGGTTATCCTCCCAAGCGATGCGACGACGGAAAACATACCAGATGACCAGCGAAGTATAAAGCACAATCATGGCGATGACGACGGTGAGGATCAATCCCGGTACCAAGCCGAGAACGGAATAGGACCATGGAAACGACATGATAGCCAGACAGATATACTCGGAGAACAGGAGGGCGGCCGTCTAATGAAACACAAGTCTGTGGTTAGCCATTGCAACTCTGCGCGCATCGCACGCGTACGCTGCTTCGAAGCGGATTGTTGTACATACCTTCTGCCAGCTACAGGTACGGTATTTAATTGAATTCTCCGACTCCATTTCAATCTGACGACCGATTTCCCCCTCTGTGTCTGAGCCGGAGCCCACCTGCTGTTTCTGATTTTCCAGATCCATCTGCTTCAACTTATCTGCTGCACTGGCATTGTCGGAGACAGACGACCGACGGGAAACGACGGGCTTGAAAGTGTTGGACTCCGCCATTTTATCGAGCGGACAAGCCGCAGGTGGTAGGAAGCGATGAAGCTAAAGGAAGAAGAGACACTAAATGCCTTTGGATGCATGTACTGCGCCTTAAGATGCGACAAAATAGGACGACTCCAAATCACTGAAGTAGATCGTTTTAAGGATAGCTCTGGAATGATCAGAGGTGACAGATGGTAATCAGGAATTGCCTGAGCGAAGACCGGCAACGAGTGAAGGAGAATTAACGAGGCGAGTGACGGAAGGTGAGAGAATAGCGAAAAGGAAGAACGGAGGAAGGATCTAACATCTTTTTAGCTGTCAGGTTCAGGCTAGAGAAGAATATCACTGGCGAAGGCACGTGCGGGCAACCTAGTACTTACTGGAGATAACCGTGAGGCAGATCGACACTACAAGACCAGGGGGTTTGCGATATGCGCGACAAAGAATCACAAAATCACCCAAGGTAATAATATAGATGAAAAAGTGAAAAATGACGTGCTAAGCTTGTGAACACGAGCAGATTGAAAGAAAATGAGCGAAAAAGTACCGCTGAGGCAAAAGGGAAAAAGAAATTCAAGCAAAAGAGATTTAATCTGGATGCGCTTATTTCCTTAACCTGGACTGCCCTGGAAAGCTGGGTTCTCCCAAAGCGCGCGCCGGATGGGTTTTAGTTGCCTAGCACCGGTGGTTTCTGCGCACCCCAAGACTATCTGGGCAAAATGCAAACCCACAGGGAGAGGCGATTTAATTTACGATATTATTTATTTAAACTGGGGGACAAATAACAACCAGAGCAGCGGTCGCTGATTGCGAATCGAGGGCTCGGAGATCCAATGACCGGCGTGCAATGCAGCCGGTCAGTCCGACTGTCCGGAATGGCCGATGACAACATCTACTTTGTATGACGTCCTCCAGCGGGATTGACCACCGGTGCATCTTTACTACCACTAGTAGAGTCTGGTAGGTTACTGGGACGAACCTAAGCAGAAGCAGTAGTAGATTTTGGTCCAGGGACTACCACGAGATACTAGTGAGGTTTTATGTGTCCCCTTCCAAGTACTATCGTAATCAATTATTTTCCTCCATCTATCCTGACCATCATTACCTTCACTACAAAAGTAGCTAATAGATAACTCTCTCCACCTCCGTAAAGCTCGACTCGGCTAAGAACAGCAATGCCGCGTTCAGACCCCACCCCCATCAGTCCCCACCGCCCATTGGTCCGTTCCCGGTACAACCTTTGCCTGTTTCCCCAGCCAATCAGCAATTCGTCCAATGTCCGCGGCGGAACCGCCCGATCCAGAACTGCCCCGCATCCGTCCTGAGCTTTTTCATTCTTTTCTCTTTTTGACGGAAAACCCCTCTTGCAGAGAATTTCCGCTCCAAGAAGTAGGAAGGAAGTGAAGGAACAAAATGGAACCATTTGTTGCTACCTTATCCCGATCCATACATTCCCCCCCTCCCCCGTCAGGTCAGCCTCTGGATTAAGTTGCACTAAGCAAACGATGTCGTGTGGCATGACCACAGCTACGCCTCTCCCTCATGCATGAATGATAAGTACGAAGCATAAACTCCCCCCCAGTCATACGACGACAACGCATGGCTTCGATGGCTTTTCCATGACCCTTGTTCGAATATCGTATGGAGATCTTCTTACTGGTTTTCCCTTGTGCATGGATCCATGCATTCGCATTCCTTCGATGGCAAAAAATGGAAGAAAGAAAGTAAGCTAACTGAAAAGGTTCGGTTGGGGAGGAAAATTCAAACAGATGAATGAAAAAATAAAGCCGCCACTGCCAGTAAATATCTGACACTGCTTATATTATTATTATTTTCTGCTTCTTTTAAGCCTTGTCGAGCACGCTATGCGCTAGTAGATGGCGTGATAAGCCACTTCCCCACGTGCCTGGGGACTGACTGGTGGGATTACTTACTTTGTTGGGTAAGGAGTGTACTCTTAAGACTCTTAGTAGCAGCCATGTGCCTTATGCGCATATGCACGCTCAGCACTAGTACTGCAGGGAGATCTCACCAACAAATACCCTTTTCCTTTAGACTAAAAAACTCTTTGCTTGGTATGTTAGGTAGTGTAGCTACTATGTGACTTCAGCGTACAAATTCAACGATACTAAATACACTATTCCACTCGCTATCCCTCACTGTACTTAACTTAAAAGCGCGCCTGAATCTCTATCATTATTTCAGTTTCACAAGAATGGAACATGGCTATAAAATAACCCGGAAACAACTCCCCATAACACAACACGGCAACTCTGCCGACTCGAAATCTCTTCTCGAGCTATGCACGCCTTACGCCAGACGCTAAGGCTGACACTAGTCTTACGCCTCCAGCAGTCTTGTGTCTGTCCACAATCTAGACTAGTCCTCCAATCTATCTAGGATAACGGATGGCTTGATCTCTAGTGGCGCCGCTTTTACGCCACTTCTCACGGCGGGAGCGATTGATGGAACCTTATCGGCAGCTAGTAGCTATCAGTTATAGCGAGCTGTATGAAGGTGTAGTTCTCTATGGAATGGTGGGTTTTTATTGTGTATTCTGTTGACACTATTAGTATATGTGTATTCTTGACAAATTGCATGGTGAAAAGTCTCGGAGAATGAATCCGAGTCTTTTGACTGTCTCTATCGCTGGGTCAGGGGGTGCTGGCGCAAGGGGGATCTGGAGGGGGAATGGAATGGAATGGTAGCCATCACGGCGGGCCGTACCATATTTGCATACTTTATTGAGTACGTAGTGTGTTGGTGGTATGTTTGAAGTAAGGGGTATTATTTATTGGGTTCTATTGCATTTTACTGTAGCTACAGTGCCGTTTATGTTGGGTTTACTATGGAAGACAGATCCGAACCAAGTGCATGCTTTTGTGGTATACTGCAATAGATAGCATATCAGGGTAGTAACTACAAGCTCCGAATTCACATTCCCTCGTCCTCCCCGGCCAGCAGGGCCGCATAGTCGTCCGCAGAAGCAAATGTCGGCAGGTGC